TCCCTTCAGGCCGTAGGCGATCATGGCTCTCCACTTCCCCCTATCCCTTGTAGTACTCAATATGTTTTCTTTTGCTACGTCTCCCAAGCCCAGTTCTGTCATCCACTTGATTTCCCTGATCTCTCTTTCCGTCCTGTGAGTATCAGATTCTCCGAGCCCTCCTTTCTCGTTACGTGTCCCAGAAATTTCAGCCGCCTCTTCCTGATATCAAGTATAAGCTTCTTCCTTAATTGCATCCTCTCCAAAACCTTATCGTTCCTCATATGTCCGTTCCATGGTATCCTTAGCATCCTTCTGTTGAACCATACCTCCGTTGCCTCGAGTCTTTTCTTCATGTTTGAGGAGACCATCCAACATTCTCTGCCGTAAAGGAGGACAGATGTCACGTAGCAGCTCAGTACTCTTTTCTTTGTTACCCAAGAAATCCTCCCGTCTCGTAATACTCTGCCTAGCTTTTGAAATACGTCTTTGGCCATCCCAATACGTCTTCGGATCTCAGCGTCGCACTTACCGTCCTCTGTCAGAACACTTCCCAGATATTCAATTTTCAGCACCTGCTTTATTTTAATGCCCCGGCCTGTAAATCACATTTCGGGCTCATCTTCTTACTGATGACCATGATACATTCTGTGTTCTTGTAGTTTATGCTTAGTCCTTTCTTCACGCTCTCCTTCGCTACCTTCTGTAAGAGGTTTCGTAATTTCCTTTCTGTGTCCGCTATCAGCACTGTGTCATCTGCGTATCTTATGTTGATAAGATTGTGGCTGCCAATGATGAATCCTGATAGAATTTCTAGTTCTCTCAGCCTCGCTGTATAAGTCCGGTGAGAAGACACATCCTTGCCTTACGCAGCTTTCTATTTCTGCTGAGCTCATTCTCTAACCACATGCAAACCGTTTGCTGCCAGTATAGGTTCTTTATTATTCTAATATCTTCCCCAAATATGTCAAGGTTACTGAGCAGTTTTAACAGATCCTTGTGGCGTACTTTGCATAGTCTATAAAACATAGGTGTACGTCCTTCTGCATTTGTATTGCGCTTTCTGATAACATTCTAAGCATAAATATCGCATTTCTTGTTCCAGTGTCTTTAACGAACCCGCACTGTTCTTGTCCTATTTCCGGTCTGATTCTTCTGCGCGCTGTATTCATCAGAATATGGATGAGATGATGAGTTTTGTTACGTGGCTCATTTGCGCCTCATTTTTTAGGCAGTGCTATGAAGATAGATCGGCTGAGATCTTCCGGTATATCCCCACTGTTGTAGATTTCATTTATTATTTCTGTAATCTTGTCTATGCCAAACTCATCTAAGGCTGTCAGCATTTCTGTTACAATTCCGTCTGGCCCCGCCGTCTTGTTTCTGTTCATTTTCCCCGGTGCAGCTTCTACTTTGGTTTTTATATTTTCATGCCCGTCGGTAGTTCTGTGTATTGCTGGTTGTTCTCTTTCGTCGTGGAAATTGTTCACCGATATATCCGTTCTGGCGCTGAAGAATTTTTCACTTCTCTTATATGAGCGTTCCATCCTTTGATCTTATGCAGCATGTTGAAGTGCATGTCTTTTGTCCTGTTAGTTGCCTTATTTGTTTATGCATATCTGTTTCTGCATTTTTTTTTTTTTTTGCTTAGCCATTCTTCTTTAGACTGCCTGCATTTGGTCTTCGTTTCGTTATGTTGTTTTCTGTACTCCGTTCTGCATTTTGTTAGAGTTTTCTGTTTCCTTTGCATCATGTCGAGAATCTCATCAGTCATCCATTCTTTCTCAGATTAACAATTCCTAACCATTATCCATTACGTCACACGTACATCCAAGCTTACTGCACGTGATATTCCGAGGCTGTCGCCCATCTAGGGATTGACCAGGATCGACGTTACTTAACTTCAATGATACTGTGGGTGTTTCAACGTGATATGTCAATAAGCCTCACTGTATTTGCATATATCAAAGTATTATTACATTAGGTTCGGATTTCAAATGTATGACGTACTTTACGCCTAAGATACACCACCAACCTTGTTTATGCCCAAATAAGGCAGTCAGCCTTTCTGTTATAATTCCGTCTGGCCCTGTTGCATTGTTTCTTTTCGATTTGGCTAGTGCAGCTTCTACATCGGTTTTTATATTTTCATGCCCGCCGGTAGTTCTTTGTATTGCTGGTTGTTCTCTTTCGTCGTGGAATTGTTCTCCGATATATCCGTTCTGGCGCTGAAGATTTTTTTCCTTCTCTAATAAGAGCGTTCCATCCTTTGATTTTAGGCAGCCTGTTGACGAACATGTCTTCTGTCCTGTTAGTTGCTTTATTTGTTTATGCAGATCTGTTTCTGCATATTTTTTGCTTAGCCATTCTTCTTTAGCCTGCTCGCATTTGGTCCTTATTTCATTGTGTAATTTGTTTGTACGTATCTCTTTTGTTGATAGTGCTCAGTCTCTGTTGCATCAATATACTATTATTGTAACTTCTTGATTTTGAATTCGCAGTAGTTTACAACTGAAGAACTAAAAAACAAAACTAGCGACACATCTATATAATAAATGCGAATGTCAGTGTGTCACTGTCATACTTTTTGAATTTGACTCCTAGAAGCCGAAGGCCAACATACACCATTTGGAATCAGGTCGACTCCATCAGCAAATTAAAAACATTCCGGGCTGTATCCAGGCCTGCAATCCTGAAATTTTGGATCCCCAAGTTTTTCATTAATGCGATTTTTTTTTAACATGATTTTTTGTGGCAAATTTTTTGTATGATAACAATTTTTATAACTTGGAAATAAATTTGGGAATAACCGAAATTAATTGTGAAATCCAGCGAAAGTCACCTATGAAATAACAATAATTGTTTGTACGGAAAGTAAGGACCTATGTACATCACATTGTCTTTAAATTAAGTGGCGGCATAAGAATTATCGTTGAACTTTTAAAAGGTAAACTTAAATATTAAGGCAATACTTAAATGCAGCGATCAATTTCAAGTCCTTCTGTAGTTTATTGTTGCTTATCACATTTACTCTTTCATACCTATTGTGATGAAGGCCCAATCAAGAGCCCTCTGCAGAAGCTAGCTTAAATGCTGCCTGATAGGGCGGCTTTTAAGCTAAAAATAAAAATATTTTGTTTTTTCATGTTTTTGCTTTATTTGTTCAAAAGCTCTTGGATCTTTTCTGTTAATTTACTCCAAATAATGTAAATTGTAAAGTTACTTATTGCAAATTTTCCCCCCAAGAAATTATAAGTTTTATTTTTATATCAAAGTTTGTTTGTTTTTTTCTTATTAAATTTTTTGAAATTATGAATCAAAATTTGTTTAGCTTTCCTCGCAACAACTCCGACCCTTAGAATGAAAAGTTACCAAAACTCAGGGAGTTCTTCACATTTCGTAAGTGCAGATGATATTCTAGGTACTTCCAAGGAATTTTTTTCACTTTAGAAAGAAAAAAATCTGTTTTTGCCTTGTTTATCGAGGCGAGAGCGGACCTAGATACCACACTTACAAATAGCGCACCCGAGTCGCCCACATTTGGGACGATCGCAAAGGTCAACGCAACTGGAATTTTAGTAAATATAAATTCTTTTTATTTTGGGGTGAATTAACACTTAACAGAAAACTTTAACTTTTTATAAGCACTGACAAATGAAAAGTCTATAGTGTTATTTCAGTGGAGTCGGGGTGACAAACATCTATATGTTATACCCCTTTAGGACGTGAGGGATCATGGCTTTCCACAACCTCCTAACTTTTAAGGCCATTGTCTTTTAGTTCTCTCTCCCAGTCCCTATTCTGCCAACCATTTACACAAACTCGTTAGGTAAATTATTCGCTATTTTCCTCTGTCTCTCTTGCCTTCAAGAAAATTCTCCAGACCATCTTTCCTCATTCTAATTATAGCCTCTTTTTTGTTTCCATTTTCCTCAAAACTTCCACGTTACTCAAATGCTCAGTTCATGGTACCCTCAGCGTCCTTCTGTAGAACCACATTTCTGTTGCCTCAAGTCTTTTCTTCATCAGTGAGGAGACTGCCACACAGGAGGAGAAATATCACGTAATAGTTTAGTATACTTTTCCTTATTTCTAGCAAAGTTTTTCGGTCTCTTAATACTGTGCTTAGCTTTTTGGAGGCCGCTTTTCGCTATCCCACTGCTACTTCGGATTTCGGTGTCATATTTACCGTCCTCTGTTAAAACACTTCACAGATATTTAAAATTTCGATTGATTTCGACATCCCCAATTTGTAGTTGGCATTTTGAGCTGTTCCTTTTGCTGAGTGTCATACATTTTGTTTTACAATTTGTGGTTAGTCCTTTCTTCTCGCTTTCTCCTAATAACTTCTGTAGGAATACCTGTAGTCTATTTTCTGTGTCTGCTATATCTGGATTGAGATATTCATTCATGTGTAGCATATCTTCGTCAAGTAAACCTGACTGGGCCCATCTCCCTTCAGATCAAATATAGCCTCCAACTTGTAGGCTCACATTGGTTACGGACATGTAGCATTTGATTTTATTGAGGAAACCCTCCCCCTTGCCATTGTCTAGGAAATCCGCTGCTCGGCGATACTGTGTCATCGCCACACTGACTGCATATATAATTCTAGAACTTCGTTTACCCCATGGTATAATCACAGAGAAGGCAACAGTACCATGCCACGTGGGTGTATGGATAAACCTCTACACTGTATATCTTAATAAAAATCGTATTTAATATATAGTAATGACGTAAGTTAATAGTGAAAGAAAAGTATCACTGTTGATCGTTTAATTTCGATCAGAACCCAAAAATTTCTGATTATCAGCTCTGAAACTTTTAGACCCTGATCGAAACTGAATGGGTGCTGGCACCATCAGTCCAATTTCTTGAGAGTGAGGTGGTTTGTTAGCATCTTTGACGGATGAAAATAAGACCTATCAAAGGGAGGAAGAAATCTTAACGAGTCAACGGCCAGTGGTGTCTCAATAAAATCACCGCGGTTGTTCACGACAACGGGAAATCACTTCAATATATACGGTCAAATCACGCTGAAACACCGGTTCTCGTTCGATCACCGAAGTTAAGCATCGTAGAGCCAGGTCAGTACTTAGTTGGGGGACCGCTTGGGAACACCTGGTACTGTAAGCCCCAAAGTCCAACCCTTACCTCACAGTCGGTGGGGGGGTGTAAACAGTAGTGTCAGAGCTATGCCGCCCGGAACTTCGTTCCTGGTAGGGGCCACCAAAGGCGGACAGGTCTGACACACGCCCCGGCTAACTAGGGCTCTGGTGAAAATCCAAGGAGCGTCTGCATCGGTAACCGGCGGCTTCTGGTCGTTCCTGTCTCTGCGTCTGTGGGAACCCCGCGGCAAGCAAGAACGTTATCCGAGTAGGCCTGGGTACCCTACTTCTTTAATTTATCCCAAGAATCTTCTTCTCATAACAGGAAGAAGCCGGCTCAATCCGCCCAGGGTGAATGCCGCATCAGTGCAGTAGTACAGTAGTACTTCAATATATATCCCACGAAAATTCATGGCTTAACAATCTTATGAAAGACAACGACTTGAAGAAGTTTAAGTCTATTGGTATTAACTCCTTGCTCATTAAGAGAAGTTATGTGACAGGTGTCACCTGACCGTCATCCAGCGACTATTCGCATCAAACAAAAAATAATTTTCGTGACATGAAATGTCCGCAAACTAAATCAATGTGGCCAGTTAGAAAATATAAAGCAGGGTATTAATAGGTTAAATGATAATATTTTAGGCGTATGCGAAACTAGGTTGGCAGACAATGAAGATTTCGTCAATGACAAACATACAGCTATATATGCAGGCGGAGAGAAAAATGAAAGAGGAGTAGGACTGATGTTAGACCAAGACATGAAGAAATGTGTTCTGAGATACTGTCAAATATCTGAAAGAACTCTTATAATTAAATTGAAAGAATGCTTTTCAACATATCCATCATAGTTGTATATGTACCGACATTGAAGAAATTGAAGAGTTTTACTACCTGTAACAACGCCAAGGCTCAATGCAAATTACAAGAAATTACAATCGTCTTGAGAGACATGTAAGCCATAGTAAGCAAGGAGAGAGATGGTCAAATATTTTGCAAATTTGGACGAGGAACTCGAAATGAGCCCGGGAAAAATTGTTGCACGGCGAATGATTAAGTAGTAGCCAACACCTGCTTTCAAGAACAACCAAGACATATATAGAGATGGAGAAGATGAGAAACAAAAATATATAAGCAAAACAACTCGACTATATAATTATCAATAAGAGATTCAGGAATGCAGTTTTATACTGCAAAACATACCTAAGTGCCAACTGTGAAAACTACGGAAATTGAAGCGAGACAAGACAGCACCACAACTTAAAAATATGATAGACCCCTAAATGATCCGAATGTGAAGGAGAAATATATGGACAGTGTGAAAAACAGATACAATGAACAAAATAAAAACGGGAATTCTTATTTATCTGCATATATAAACAAAATTCGTTCCCGAGCAAAATGAACCATTTAATTAACTTTACCCGTACGTCACTTAGAATGCAATCTTATTTGTTCAAGCCTTTCATGTGAAGCAGTCAGATACCTTTGTTTACTAAGTGATTGTCCTTGCTTCAGCTTGGTCTTGAAATAGGCTTTGTCGTCACCGTCTTTGTCGTTCTGTTGCTAATCTTTTTTTCCGAGAGATATTTCCATTTCTCTATTGTATTAAACCCATAACATGTTTAACATAAAAAGATATTGAGCAATAAGCGATTTATATAATATCAGGCGTAACCAATGAATCATATACACTATTCAACGTCTAAAAATATAAGGGGTACGGATTAATTAAACGGTTCATTTTCATTTATTTTAGTTGTGAATCTCCGCTTTATTGAATCAATACATTTTTACAAGACGTCTCACTATTAAAACTTTCTAACAATTACTGCCATTTTTGTCGGCACGGGTTCACTTGTATATAATAAAACTAGCACATGTACCCAGTAAAAGTAACGTTTATAGTAATAAGATCGAATTTTTTAAAAAAATGCATAAATTACTTAAAAATTACTTTGTTTTTATTTCTGGTGAGTAGATATAGACGTCGAAATGCCCCAACGAGAGGGATGTATTTCTTAAAAATGATAATTGAGTTTTGCTTTGCTGATGATGCTTCTGTCGCAAACAGGTAGCAAACCTCTCTATGTCTTGGAGCATAAACTGAATCCTTCTGAGGCGTGTGTTTCTACTGACTTTTTCGCTACCGACGTCGCATATATTTAATTGGCTATGAGTTTACTGGCCCTGACCGGGCATCTCGCTACCTTAGGAAAATTGATATATAGTAGAGTGGAGACCCCGCTTCACAGTTTCGAGGTTAGAGGCACGAGACCCTGACACCGACCCTGGATTTCCGCATGCACGCACACGCAGAGAGAGAGAGAGAGAGAGCGGGGGAGTTCATTGAACTCTCTATGTCTCTGAGCATACGCTGAATCCTTCTGAAGCGTGTGTTTCTACTGACTTTTTCGCTACCGACGTCGCATATATTTCATTGGCTACAAGTTTATTTGTCCTGACCGGTCATCTCGCCTTCAGTCACTTTCCCACTTCTGTAATGTAGCTACCCTGTGCCTTTTCTATAAATATATTCATGGTAATTAATCGGATGAACTTTCCTCTGAGGTCCCTCGGCTTTATGAATCTAAAACCAGTACTAGATTGGTGGCAAGGTCTCATCATTTTAAAGTTGAAATTGATAGATGTAACCGTAAGTTCTATGCTAACAGTTTCTTCTATCGCACTTCTCGCTTGTGGAAATCTCTTCCAGCTTCTTGCTTTTCAGTTAACTTTGATCTTCAGAAATTTATATGCATTGTCCATTGTTATTTTCTGCCTTCTTAATCCTTGTTCTTTTATTGTCTTATGTCAATAGAACCCAAAAATTGTCTTAATAGTGTGTCCTTCATATTCTCTAACACTCAATAACCCATTGCATCTTATTGGCTTTATTGCCTTGTTTGGGACGAAATTATGAAAAAAACCTCGTTTTTCTCAGTTAAAAAGAGAAGGTAGGTTCAATCCTTACTTCTTTAATAATGTTTTTAATGTTTCTCGGCCAGTAGATATCAATTTCACTGTTTGAAAAAATAAAAAGGAAATGATATCTCCCCCCCCCCAACACAAATGCGGCGTAAACACTTTTCTTTTCTTGACAGCATTTCTCATGGATCTGCCTGAAGGACAAAGACTATATCGGCCGTGTCCTAGTTTGACCGCATTGGCTCTCAGGGAAGTTATCTTTAGTTCGTTACCTTTTAAAAAAAAATTATTTTTTCCCCAAGCAAGGCGATAATGCCGCTAAGAGGCAAGGGTTACTGAAAGTGGAAGAGAATGAAAAGACATCAGTGAGAAGAAAAGACAACAAAAGAACAGGTAAACAGTAGAGCACGATTAGCCTTGCATTTAAATTTTGGCAGGGGAAGCAGGAAATCAGAGAATTTCACAGGTGAGAAGTGCGAGAAAGAAACTATTAGAATAGAACTTACACTTCTCTCCAACAGTTTCTTTTCTCGCACTTCCTAACTGTGAAACCCTCTTCCTCTTACTTGCTTCCCTGATAACTTCAATCTTCAAAAATTTAAATGCAACGTCAATCGTCATCTTCTGATGCCTTGATCCCGTTTTCTTCTTTTATTCTTTCCTCAACACCTCCTCCTATACCCAGCCTTTTTCTCTTGCTTTCACTCTCTGTAAGCACCCCCATGCGTACTAGTGGCATTTTCACCATGCTTGGGTGAAATGCTTTAAAAATATCTAGCTAATTCAACAATAAAACAATGAGTCCTATGTGTCAATCTAGTAGTATGCTTAAATCCATTCGGTCGACGTGCCAAGAAGAAGAGCTCACTAGTACAAATGCCATGAAAATATCGATAGAAAAGACAAAAGCTAAGTAGGAAATTGATTAGAACCCAGATGCTAGATTTGGACTTATTTGTCTACTTAATAATATTCTAGCAAGGATTTTTACCTGAAATCGAAAGCAAAGTGACACCTTGATTATGTGAGTAGTCTTACTTAATTCTTTTGTTCTTGTATAGGGTTAGGAAGGGATGTGTGAATGGCATAAGAGTTATGGCGCGAAAAGTGAAACTGGCGTGCTGTGTTCAAATTCTGAAACTGTTTCCTTCACTTCGTACAAATGCCCTTGGAAAATTTATGTATACATCTCTAGCCATCTACGTTTTAAATAACAGGACTGACTAGTCTCCTGGGGAAGGAGTTACCATTACTTGGCTTTACGAGGTTTATCAAGACGTCATTAGGTGGTGCTGTGTAGGAACTATGAAGACGGGACACTTCCCGTTTCTTTTGATTTTTTGCTTTCTTTGGCCAACAGAGGACAGGGAAAATAGTAATGCCTAACGAGTAACACAGGGCTTCGGTAGAAAACGAGAATCGTACGAATGCCCAGGGAGCGAAACAGGGGCTCGGTTGAAGACGAGAATCGTACTAATGCCCAGGGAGTAAAACGGGGTCTCGGTAGAAGACTAGAATCGTACGAATGCCCAGGGAGTAAAACGGGGCCTCGTTAGAAAACGAGAATCGTACGAATGCCCAGGGAGCGAAACAGGGGATCGGTTGAAGACGAGAATCGTACTAATGCCCAGGGAGTAAAACGGGGCCTCGGTAAGACGAGAATCGACGAATCAGGGCCTCGGTAGAAGACGAGAATCGAATGCCCAATGGGGAGCAAAACGGGGCCTCGTTAGAAGACGAGAATCGTACTAATGCCCAGGGAGTAAAACGGGGCCTCGGTAGAAGACGAGAATCGTACTAATGCCCAGGGAGCAAAACGGGGCCTCGTTAGAAGATGAGAATCGTACGAATGCCCAGGGAGTAAAACGGGGCCTCGGTAGAAAACGAGAATCGTACGAATGCCCAGGGAGCGAAACAGGGGCTCGGTTGAAGACGAGAATCGTACTAATGCCCAGGGAGTAAAACGGGGCCTCGTTAGAAGATGAGAATCGTACGAATGCCCAGGGAGTAAAACGGGGCCTCGGTAGAAGACGAGAATCGTACTAATGCCCAGGGAGTAAAACGGGGCCTCGGTAGAAGACGAGAATCGTACTAATGC